GTAGTATTTACTTGGGTTCTGCTTTTTTTTTTCTCAATAATTTGTACACGTATTGCAAATTATAGCTTTACTCTGCTGCTGTTTTGTTTGCATTTTCTTGTTCTCTCGTATTTTTGTTCTTATTTATCTTCATTTCTCTCTCCCTCTCTCTCTCTCTCTCTCTCTCTCTCTCATACCGCGCATTACGTATCATCGTTATATCTATATGTATATATATATATATATATATACCTGTGCCGTACTCTCGCAACATGCTTTTATACATCTCATCTTTTTCCGTAATTTATTTTTTCTCTACGTCCGAGAGAAGAATCCTTTCATCTGATTTTTTTTTTTCTACATTTTTTTTCCCCCTTTCTCTCTTTCTAACGAGCACGCACCGTACACGTTTACACTCGCAATCAGTCTTCATAGCATCTTATTATTTCTCTTTTCATTTTTCTTTTAACATCTAAAAACATTCATACGATTCTAAATTAAATATATCATAAAAAAAAAAAAAAATAAAAATAAAACAAAAAAAAAATAATAATCTCTCAGCTCTTCTCTCTTTCTCTTTGTGTATCCCTTCTCCCTACCTTTAATCTGATTTCAGCGCATGCGTGCACACGTTAAACGTAAATCATACGTAAGAACACTTGTTAAATTCAAATCGGTTTAAACAATTTTTATAACTTATCCAGAGTACGAGTGCATTTTTCAACTTTTTTTAACAATCAATTAAACGTTTGCGAAGTAAGTTTCACGTAGTACATGCATGTTAGTTGTTTACGCGTGTTAAGTGTTTATGTATCTCTCTCTCTCTCGCTCTCTCTTTCTCTTCGTTCATTTCTCCAAGTTTTTTTTAATGAATTTTATATTCTTTATTTGTTCACCTCTCAAATGATTCTAACCGTCATTATTAATGTATTAGGCATATTATATATAACGTACGTATATATATATATATATATGTATAATGTAGTTTACATTACGATACAATACATACATACAAGTGCTCGTGCCGTCCGACAACAATTTTCTATTAATTTAACAAACGAAAAATGTCTTTCTCTTTAAAACGTTCAATTATTATTATTATTCAATAATCGATCATTATAATAAATTGATCTTTTATACGTATCGAGAGGATCGTCGACGGTACAACAACGAACGGATCGTTTATTTCTTCATCTTTTTTTCTTTCTTTCTTTCTTTTTTTTCTTTTTTTCTTATTTCTTTTTCTTATTTCTTTTTCTTAAAGTTTGACACGAATAATTTTAACGCATACATTACACACTTTTCGTTACAGAATTCGATAATATATTTATTTAATAAGTGGTACCGTTAATATTGTGTACTTTGTTTATAATAACTCTCGCGCGTATGTACAAAGGGCAGCTTGCCTAGTATAATCTCTCTTAAATCGATTTCTCTCTTTCTCTCTCTCTCTCTCTCTCTCTTCATCCTTCCCTCCCTCCCTCTCTCTCTCTCTCTCTCTCTCTCTTTCTTTCATTTTCAATTTCATTTCTTTTTTTATCGTCGCACGACGGCCGAAGTAAACTCTTGGGACGTGTTTGTATGTCAGTCAGTCAGTCAGTCAGTCAATCAATCTATAACTTTCGTTTAATACACATTTAATTAAGATACATAATATAATTGTTTCTTATTTGCTTATATTGTTTGTATGTTTGTTTGTTTGTTTGTTTTTTTGTTTGACTGTTGTTTGTTCATTTATCCTTTTATTCCGTTTTTTTAATTGACGCCGCATCGATGCACTTTATTTATTATCTTTTAAACTTTTGTGTTCACATTTTCTCTCTCTTGATTGAGAAAAAAAATTTCCTTGTTTATCTTTTTGTTGTTGTTTTTTTTTAATTGGTTTTCTTTTTATTGTTTTTCTTTCTATTCTTTTTTTCTTTTTTTTTTCTTTCTTTCTCTTTTTCTTTTAAATTTCCATCCCTTTCTCTCTCGCTCTTGAGAAATTAAATTTAAATAATTGGATAGAGTCGAGAAAAAAAAATGAAAAAAACAAAAAAAAACGAATAAATAAAATAACACAACATACAGCACACGGCGTATAGAATAATAATAGTTTTTTTTTTTTTTTTTCAGGTTGTTTTAAAGTATTACGTAGGGAAGTTTAAAAGTAAATGGACAAATCGATTTAAAAGGAACACGCTCGCGAACGATGGGGAAAACAGTTGACGTCTTTTTTTTTCTTTTTCTTTTTTTTTTTTCTTTCTTTCTTTCTTTTTCGAAATCGATCCGTCGGTTACCTGTGGACGGTCACGCGAGTCGGTAAAATTACCGCGTGAGAGCGTTTTTTTTTTTATTTGTTAACTCTCTCGAGTTTGAAGAAGAAAGAGAAGGAAACGAAGAAGAGGGAGAAGAGACAATATTTCTTCTCTCTTTACCACACACACATCCTTTTTATTATTATAATTAATATTATTATTATTATTATTATTATTTATTATTTTCTTGATTAGTGAAATTAAAATA